AAAAGCAATGTCAAAACCTCTATATCAAATTAAACACAGAAAAAACCAAGTTCATTATCTCCGGTAAAAGTTTGGTTACAAAAAACATAATACAAATTAACATTTTTCCCCTAAAAACTCAATGATAAACTGAAACACCTCGGATTCCTATGGGAAAATCAAGGCTATGGACAAAATATAGCTACAACCCAATCAGCAAATGTAAACGAAAGAATTATTCAATTTTAATCTCCAGAGCTCCTATAAAATCTGGAATTCGTTTTTGTCAACCAGTAACTATAGTGCATTTGTTCAAACCTCTGGCTATACCAAATCTATCATATGAGTTAGAAATTTGCGAATGTAGCAATACTTTTCTTAATAACTTAGACGCTGTTGGAAGATCAGCATTAAAAATTTCTCTTTAGTATTTCAAAATACAGCAAAAACTATGTGCATTCCTACATTAAAATCGATGACGTATCTATCATCCTCGTTCAAAACAAATCTGTTAATCAAATTACTGAGCGATCCGACTTGTTTTTGATTTTAACTCAAATATCTAATGTTAATAAGGATAACTGCTTTATCAACGAAGTAATGAAAATTTGCAACCGCCTGGACCTAAGCTTCATTCAGTGTTTGATTAAGGGGGAGAAAATCATTATCAAACGTCGTAATTATGACGTAGAATATAATATAGCGGAAATTTTAAACCAGTCCTTTGAATTCTGGAACATCAGAGAACAGAGAATGATATTCAAAAATTTGATGGAAGAAAGTATTCCAAGAATAATCTAAATTAGAATTGCAACTTAGAGTATAAACTATTAGTTTTATGACCTTTGTATTTTTTACCTGTAATTTGGGTGATGAAAAGAATAAATAAAATAAATAAATATGGGAAACCAATGCGGGGTTCATCAAATAGCCTAAACTGGGCCCAGATTAACATTTTTTAGTCACTAGATTTTCAAAGTAAAATTACAAATTGCGTCTATATCTATGAATGAAGTTTTCAAGTTTCTCAAATCAAATCTGAGATATGAAAAGCCAAACTGCACCAATATTCGCACAACAAAATATGGATTGAAATCTATTTTGCACTTAGGACCTAAAGTTTGGTAACTAATTCCGAATGATTGTAAAACATTTTCATCTTTGAGGGAATTTAAACTTAAAATAAAAAAAATGGATTCCAAAGCAATGCTTATGCAAATTATGCATGGTTTTTGATGTCGGAACATTAATAAACTAAAATAAAATCTTTATATTTTTGTTAGTTTTTGCCACTCTAGTTGGCTTTTTTTTATTAATGTATTTATCAGTTATCTTACAATTTACATTTATAATGATATTTATATTTGAAGGACAAGTATCAGTTGACTTAAATTAGCCAATTATAGACCTTTGTAACAACCATATGTGTCAACTATAAATACAGGGGCATATCTAGGAGGTATCCTGGATTTACCCATAATATTTTTATAATTTATAAAAAAAGTATCGTGATAACTTGATAAAAAGTAAAATTAATTACAAAAAATTCTATGGCTTCAATGCTTTGCGGAATTTAAGCAAAACAAAAAAAATTAGCTCTTCTCCGTTATGCTTTAAAAACCGCTTTGATACATATTTTAGGATTTATTTTTTAAAATAAACTGAACCGAGAGAACCCTTTTAATCAAAGATTTTTAAAGGTTTTTCTTTGTTTACCTTAAATAAAGCCAAAAAATCCCCATTGTTTCAGGATTCATTTGACGTGATTTTACGGTAAACACCAAATAAAAATTATAGGAACGTTTAATCAAAAGATTTCTCTCGATTCCGTTTATACATAAAAATGAATCTTTAAATATTACAAATAAAGCCTTAATTATTCACATAAAACTTTAATTATTCGCATAAAGCCTTAACTATTTGAATAAAGACTTAACTATTCAAATGAAGTTAAATTTATCAGAAAAAGTTAAAATACTTAACTATAGCGCATATGATAATTCTGAATACTTTAAATTTAACTTCATTTGCAAATATGGACTTAGTGGCGGTAATGCAGTTACCTCCCCCCCCCGCTTTTTTTTTTATTCTATTGTTGATTGTGATAGAGAATTTTATGCTGATTAAGAATCGTACAAAAACATGGGTCTGAAAATCAACAAAAAGTGCTCTAATTCAATGTTGAAGCTCAAAAAATTTAAACTAAAAAACAGAGTATTATATAAGCAAATTTGGTCTATATATCCTGAATTCGGACTTAAGAAATATAAAAGTTGTTCAATGTAAGTATTTTCCCAAAAGGTAATCATAAAGCAAATAAAGAAGTTTTGAGCATTTTATGGTGTAACAGATTGTTCTTCTATTTCCAAACATAAAGCCCTAAAAGTTCTCCTTTTACTATTATCATTTGTTTACCAAGAATTGTTAAAATGAAATTAAAGATAAAAGCTCCGTGAAGCTTAACGGAGAAAAGTGAATACGAATTGTCATATTCATAATGACTCAGCATTTTAACACTACAAATGTTTATATTTAATTTTTATTATCAGTTTATGTTTTAGATATTTCGATCATTTTTAGATATTTTTTGATATTTAAAATCATTACTAAGTATAACTTTTGAAATTTTTGCTAATTTTCACGCAACACTGATTAACTTTGGTAAAACTAAAGATTTACTAGAAACCAAATATTGTGAAAGCTTTGCGATCATTGTGTCGCATAAACAAAAATATTGTGAAAGCTTTTCAGGAAAACTTATACTTCTCTTCACATAAACTATATATGTAAATATATATAAATACATATATTGTCTAATATGTCTGTATATATAAAATATAAAATATTATTATTTTATATTTTATATATATATTTATTATTTGAGAATTCGTACATCCTATTATTTGAGAATAGCTGAACAGTGATTTGTTCTCAACTTTAGGAAAAGCAAGATTAGACCCATCCATTAGTTTTCCTTGTAACTTTGTAGACATCCAAAAAAATCTTAGTTTTCTTTCCCTATACCCCGTTTACCGGTTGTCTTAATGTCTATTTATAGTTCGCCGCAAATTTTAAATTTTTTTAAAAAGAAAACAATAAGGTTGGTTCCATTTTACCTGTTTGTTCCATTTTACCCAAAGCTTTTTTTACCCAAGATTTTCTTTAGAAGGTAATATTAACTTCTAAAGAAAATCTGAATAGAGAATTGCAAAGCGTTGGGTAAAATGGAACCAACCCTATTGTTTTCTTTTAAAATGTTTATTTTAAATTGAAGCAGTTTATAATTGTTTTAGAAAACATTTGTGACGAATTTTTATTTTTACCATTGCACAAAAAGACTGAAGCTATTGTTATTTTTTATATAGTCACGTGTTTTTATATATGTCACGTGTTTTCTTCAATTTATTTTTATTTTTATATAGGTCACGTGTTTTCTAATTTTATTTTTCTTACTCTAAATGGTTTATATTTGATTAGTGTTAGAAACTGCAGATATCAAAAAAGTAATAACTGATAAACAACGGTAAAGCATAAGGTTTATAAGTTGTTTCCTCATTAACTTTAATAGTTTTTGACTATTTTTTTTTTTTTTTCTTAAGCTTTTTTGTTTTTAAACTAAAATAGTTTTTGTCAACAATATATTGAGACAAAACATGGATACTTTAACATACTAAGCTTACCATCTTTAATTTAAACACATAACCTAATTATATTTGTCAGATTTGTACTTCTCTTTAAAAGTTATGAAATGGATAAGGATACCACCGAGAAAAAGGTTGTGTTTAGTAGAATACATTGCAACCTCTATTTACAGTGATCAATTGGCTCTATTTTGGTATGTTTTAATAGTTTCTATTTTTTAGATGAAATGAGTTCAGCTGACTTTTTTGCTTAAATTATATCACTTAGATATTATTAGTTAAAGGTACTTTACTTGGAAGCACACAAACAAAGATTTTGAACATTGGAACAGGTAGGTCATCACTTTGATAAGTAGAACTGCTTATAGGAGATTTAGGTAGTTTAAAATTTCTGCTTTTTTAAATTCATTCCAAGTACATTTATTGAACAAAAGTAATAGTTTTTTTTAGTTTCCTTTAAACTATTACTGTTAAAAGTTAAAATTGCATTTCTTCAAATTTGTGTTCATTTTTGCAAGTGCTTAATACAGTTTTTAAGACAACATCAGAAGTTTTTGATTTTTTGGAATTTTAGCTCCAAAAACATAAGAAACATTGGTCTTTTTTTGAAGTTTGATTTCAAAAAAAGCCTAAAGGTTTTCTTTTTGAATGTGCTACATGTAACAAAAGAGACAAAATAATTCTTGCAAAATCTTGCAGATGTCATTGTTTTTACTAAAAATAAAAACATGTGTATATCATATGTATAAAACATATGTGTACAACAATTGTGTATAACATATGTGTATAAAGTTAAAATAACATATGTGTACAACATATGTGTACAACGTATGTGTACAACATATGTGTACAACATATGTGTACAACATATGTGTACAACATATGTGTACAACATATTGTTTAAACTTTTTGAATAATTTTTCAAGTACCACATTATGTAAGACTAATTGTATTATTGTATATCAAAAAAAATTTAAAAATAAAAAATAGTAGCAAACCAGTATTTAATATTCAACTTACTTATTTCTGTTATTAGATTTTACCTCCTTCTCTTTTCACACTTTATCTCCAACGCTTTTACATTAGCTTGCGCGTTGACATGTAGTGCATATCTAATAAAGATCATGTATAAAGTCCTTAAACATTTTCTGCATGCAAAATTGTATCATACTTAAAGAGATTGATGGGCTTAACCAATAATTATGAAAAAAAAAAGAAAGAATTTGCAAAACTAAGGCATACTGCATAGCAAAAAAAAATTAGAGCTAACCAAAAAAAACTAATTTTTTTTTAATTAATTGTGTCAAAATTACCCAGAGAGAGGTCTAACAAATCCGAATCCAAAATATGGGTTGACCAGTGTAAAAATTGTACCTGATATTAGCAATTAAGTAGGAGAAAATAATTCATACATTTTTATATTTTAAAGTATTTATCTCCCTAAAGATAATAATGTTCTTCATAACTAGTCATATATTAGGTAGATGTTTGTAATATATTAGGTAGACATTTGTAATATATTAGGTAGACGTTTTTAATAAATTTACTTGTTTAGTTCAGTTTTAAGGATAAAATCTACAGTATCATAAAAAACGAAAAATTTCTCAGAGCAATGACGTACCATAAACAAAGCCCTTGATAACTAAGTTTAAGAAAACCTGTCTGAAACTTAGGTGGTTGTTCCATAAAATTTGTAAAGTTTCATAACACGCTAGGCGGTTTTAATGCAAACAGTTTATATATTAAAGTTGGATTTTAGAGATTTATGCCTCCGCCAACTTTAATCAGGTAATGAAATGCACAAAAGTACCAGAAAATGGCAAAGACGTATTTGGGTCCTTTAATTTTTGCACATATATAAATTAATATAGCGTTAATAACCTAACAATAATTTTAAACTGCTGTCATCATTGATTGAACAACTAAAATTTCCTCAGCGTCATCTACTTTAATGAGAGCTTTATCATGGTCATAATAATCATAAATAATTGAAGTTCTGTTTTTTGTGTGGTCATTTCCATTATTAAAATCTTTGCTTATGCTATTTTTACTCGACGAGCAAGAGATTTTTATTTGAGGAATATTTTTTTTAAATGTTTGTCCTGAGAACATAGTTTTTTTATAATCTTTTTTTAAGGTAAGTTTATTAGAGTAGGTTGATATTGAAGTCTCATTTATTCTTTTTAATAAATGTCGCTTATAGTTTGTTTCATTTGTTATTATACTTTTTTTGCTGCTATCAGATAAATTTAAATAATATTTAATATCATCTAAATTATTGGTATTATTCTCTTTTGTCTGATTTATCGATAGTTCGCTGAAATTATTTGTGTTAAGATCTTTATAAAATATTGATCGCTTAGGTTCAAAATATTGATGGTTAACAAAAGGCACTGCACTACTTGATTCTGGGTGTTTGTATTGTTTTCTTTGCTTCTTTAGCCAACTCTTTGTGACTTTGTTAAGAATTTCTTCGTTACTGCTCTTTTCTCCAAAATAATCAATCAAAAACATGATCAAAACTCCAACGACGTTCATACATCCAGCCACAAAAAATGCATAAGAATAATCATTAAAATAGTCGTAGATCCAACCTTTAAAAACAAATCTAACTAGTTAAACTGGAAAAATTGTTGTTAAAAATAAAAATAATTAAAATTACAATAAAAATGTTTAAAGTATAGTACCAGCTATTGGAGCACCCACTGTTGTTGGAACTCCCATAATCATAAACACACAACCTAGAGCTAGAGGAAGCTTTTTGACACCAACAATATCTTTAGTAATAAGAGGAATCATAACAATGAATACAGATTCACCAAATCCATATACAACGCAGTAAACCATAAGACCATAAAATGAATGTGAAATTGGAATTAATGTTGTTCCAATTCCCATTGTAAGAAGACCGAATTGATAAATCTGCATTTTGCTCACACATTTTAATCCAGCTAACTTCCCAGTAATCAATTTGAAAATTGTAGATGAAATTGACAACGTGCTAATTAAAAATGCAGATTTTACTTCAGGAATTCCAATTAAAACTGCATATCTTACCTAAAAAAAGTATACGTACATTCAAGTAAATGATGAGCAAAACTACAGCGGTCCTTTCAAAATGCCTATATTGGACCACTAAAAATCCGCTATAGAATGTTTGCTGGGTAATAACTTGAAGTGCCAAAAGATAAAAGATAATTAAAAAAATTAAAACTTGTTGATGAACTTTTATTTGATTTAAGTTTAAGATCTTTTTTTAGAAACCCGTTTCTGCGAATTTGGATTTAAGGGTGGGAGAAAGTTTTATACTATTTTAATTCACTTATCTCCCATAACTTACAAAACGCTAAATTTGTTTAAAAAACAGAAGCAGGAGATCTTATGCTCTTTTACGCGGCAATTTTCATTAAACTTAATTATTTTATTTTTTTATTTTAATTTTTTATTTAACTTAAGGCTCTGAGAGGGATAACCTTTGATTTTTTGTTTTGTTTTGTTTATAAGTGCAATTTAGTGTTGCGTAATTTATGGACGATTTCTTGAGTGGAAGAACTCCAACACCAAACCCAGTTCCACCTCCTGCTTCTGTTTATAACTAATTTAAAGTTTAATCTAAAATTACTTTCTAAAACATTTGTTATATATTAGAATACATTATTTATTAAAAATATTTGTTGATTATATTAGTATATTGAATTTTTTTTTCCAACAAAATCTCATTGTTTACTTTTAATTTACTTACCAAATGCACAAACGGAACAAAGTAGCCTAGTATAAATATTGATAAACCGAAGCACCATGCAAGATAAGATTTGTTTTTAAACAATGAGAAAACATCAGAGTTCAAGAAATTTCTCTTTTTGCTTATTTTTATTTTATTTTTTATTGGCGTCAAACATCTTTTTTCATCAGCTTGAAAACTATTTTCATGCAAAGTAGAAACTTTGTTATCGTCTTCAGAATCAATACAAATATTTTTATTTTTTTGTCGAAACTTATACTTTTTAGCTACTGGTTTATATACAAATCCTGCAAAAAAAACTAAGCCATGAAGTCCAGCTAACATTAAAAATGCATTTTTAACTCCATATTGATGTGAAAACCATTGTATAAAAGGACTAAGAACTAAAGTTCCAAACCCGCTACCTGAAGATACAATTCCAGTCACTAACGGTAGACGCTTATCAAAATAAGGTACCAACACTATCATCGCGGGAAAATAACAAAAACTTGTACCCAGCCCCCATACTACACCAAATGAAATATACATAAGCTCTAATGTGTTAGCATATGCCGAAGCTATCATTCCCAAAATACATAAAAAACCTCCCAAAACTGAAACTCTGCGGCAAGTAAACTTCTGGCATAGGGAAGTTGTAAATGGTCCCAGTATAAACATCATTCCTACAGATATTGAGCTCACAAATCCTAGAATAAAAGAAAAAAAAAACACTTTAGTTTTCAATGACAATTTAATAAATTCATGTTAATATGAGTTATTTCATTTAATCTTAATTAACTTATTAACTAATATTCCATTTATAATAACTTTTAAAGATTTATCCAAACTATAAAGGCGGGTAAATAAAAAAAAGCAACTGCTTTTACTCAGCGTTTTTGGAATAATTGCTCAGCTTTACATGAATAAAAATTTGAGCAATTTTGCTCAAATTTTTATTAACGTAAAGCTAAGCAATTTCTCCAAAAACGCTAAGTAAAAGCAATTGTTTTTTTCTTATTCACACGGCCTATACTATTACAATAATCTTATTATTAATAACGTAACCGAGTAACGCTATTTTGTATTACCAATAAACATTAGATTAAGTCTACAAATATTAGATTAATATTGATAAGATAAATGTATTATCTTATCAATATTATCCTAGTAATATTATCCCATTCTAACTTGGTATGATATTATCCCGTTATATTATCCCAGTCTAATATTATCCCAGTCTAATATTATGCCATTATATTGATAGTCTTATAGACATTCAATTGGAATCATCTTTTATTAATTATTTAAGTGTATCACAAGTTTTTTTGTTAAATTTAATAATTCAATAAGGTTTTTAACTTGATAAATAAATTTTCATTTAAGGTTGTAACCTCTTCAAACACTTTAAAAAATTAAATTTGTTTAATACATTTTTAAATTAATATAACCTTAAATAATATAATTTTCTTTACCAACTCAATTTAAATATTAAAAATGTAATTAAAATGTTATCTCAAAGTTTTACCTGTCTCACCCCTAGGTTTATTAAACTTTTGTACCAGCTCGTTAAATATGACACCTGATGAATTTTGAAGACCAACAACTATAAATTGCGTAATAAAAGCTGCAACAACAACACACCAACCCCATCCGCCATCTGGATGGGTTTTGAAATTGTTTTTCTTTGCAGAGCACATCTTTTATTGAGAAAATAAAAAATAAAACATAATTATTGATAAGGATTATTAACTAATTAATTTAACAAATAAAATAAAAATTTATTTAAGATTAAAACAAAAAAGATGATTTATTCTAGTGATTGTCAACCATATAATTACATTAAAGCGAACATCAGTATCAATACAACCAATCAATTCTTGTGTTGATATAGCCTGTACACCAACCCTTATGTTTTTTACAAGCAACTTTAGAAATAACATTTAATTTATTACCTAATTAATAAAATAATACAAAATGTTAAAAATTCTGGTTGTGATGCGATAATCACTTTAAACTATTTCCACAGTATTTTTTAAAGATAAATATATATTGTATTTATTTTTGATGCTGTAGATTAAACATACTTAAGAGGGCACGAAAAATGTCAAATTGCACGAGAAAATGTCAAATCGTTTATAAAATCGTATATAAAAAAAGATTAGCCAAGTTGAATTGATTTTCTTAAAATATTATTTAATTCATCTCAAGATAACAACAGTGTTTTAAAAACTGTTTTTATTTTCTTTACTTGTTTGGCAAGACTAATGTCGATGTTTTTAATGTCCGGCGTTGATGTTTTTTTTTTTTTTTTTTTCAAAATTGTTTCCTTTATAGTGTGATTTTCACTATATTTATTAAAATTATAATAATAAAAAAAGAATATACAACAAACAATATTCAAAAATATGGCAAATATTTATTGAGTTGTAACCATTTGGGTGATGCTTAATTGACTTTTCAGCTTAACGCTGCTATATAATGTTGCAGCATAGAAACAGCGTAGTTTAATGCTTTAAGTTTTAAATTTCTTATTGCAAATTAAATTAAAGTTTATTAAAAAATATATCATACAAATAAAAATTTATTTTTGTTTTTAAATTTTTTTTTTAAATGATATACTAATGTAATTATGTTAATATTTTCTGTTTTATTTGAAATATGGTGTATAATAAAAAATATTGATAAATATTTCTAATTTTTTCTTGTGTTGATTATTTCTTAGTTTGTTTAAGTCGCTGACGTTTAGCTAAATGGTTTCTTTTATCAATGTCATACCAAAAGTGTGTCTGCGTCTTACCGAAAGTCTATCTACCCTAAGAATATTTTTTCTAGTGTCAAAATTACTTACCCAAGCAATGCTGCAATATAACTATGAATAAACTGTTATAAACTTTTTAAAACAAGTATCATTAAAAAATATATTAATAAAAAGATATTACTTCTTGTAAATAACACCCAGATGTTTTCAGAGTTTATTATCTTTAAATTCAAACTTTCCAATAAAAATGTATCAGTAGTCACTTGTATTAGTAGCCTAGATTGTTAAGTCAATCTCATTTTGCGTTAGTTTGAGCAGCTGCGTTGCAGCAAAACCAACCGCTGTTTAATTTGCCCATCAAAGCGATATAATTAGTGTTATTTTTGCGCATGAGTAGTAAAAGCATTGCTTTTAAATTTGAGTCACAAGTAATCTTATAGCTTTTTAATTATTAATAAACGTTTATTAATATCTGATATTAATATTAATAATAAAATTATTAATATCTATTATAACAATTTTTAATAATATTAACACCAGTTTAACATTTGTAGTGATATCAACAACTATTTAACTTTGTTAAAATTTATTTGTATATTTTAAAATATTTATTATACTCATTGCTTGCTCTTAACATGTAAGTAAAATCTAAAAGGATAATCAGCAACTCATACGCCATCGCTGCACCAACCGTTAGCATACGTTATGCCAGCGTAACATCTACTGTTTAAGAGAAATATCAGTATCACCAACTTAGCGAAACACAACGCTGACTATATAAGGCTACAAGCAAATACGTTTCACAAAATTTCTTTGCACAGGATAGTTAGATAATGACAATTGAAGTTTTTTTTCAATAAATGATAATGTCTAGTTAAGGTGTTGCTTTTTTTACGGAGAAATTGTTGTAAGAAATGCAAAAAATGATACTTTTATGTGTTTTACCAAATAATATAAAATCTATGAAGGTCACAATTCATTAAATAATTAATAGGTCATTTGCCATGCTTTCTTACTATAAATATATTTTATGCAGTCGTTGCAAAGATCTTGCAGGTTTATTAATTTTTTTTGTTCAAATTAAATTTTTTCATAATTTAAGTTACATTAGAAGATTTTGATGAAGAAAAGCTCTGATGAAAAAAAAATTTGATGAACAACTACTTTTATCAAGAAAAAAAGTTTAGATGAAAAAAAACTTAGCTATAAACTAATCAAACTTCATAATTTGCATAAATTCTTGCATAAATTCAAAAGATCATCTATGAACTAATCGAATTTTAGCACGCATAAACTTTGATTAAAATATTTGTACCAGATCATATTTGTTTTTAGTAATATCATCGTGATGATAAAAATTTTCAGGGAGCTTTAAAACAAAATACCGGCACAAATTGTGTTTGAAAAACCATATAAAAACATCGAAATAAAGTTTTGCGCTGTTTAACTAGGCTAACTTCTTGTGTAAACAAAGTAATAACGATTAAGAAATTTTTTGCATAAATGCATCTTCTTTATTAATCTATTTTCTATTTTTAAGTTGAAAACCAAGTAAAGAAAAACGAATTACTGTTTTTCTTGTTATTGCTTTAATGCTAAAGTTAAATGGAGTTTTTATATTAAATGAGTTGTATTGTTTTTTTTTAAAGAAAAATGTTGTTGTATTTTATTAATTTTTTTTTTTTTTTTTTGACTTTTAGTTTTAAATTACTTTTTTAAATGTAAATATTTGTTTAATTTACATATAGAACTATCATCGGTCAAATAAATAAAAATAAATCTTGTATTCCTATTTATTTGATCAACGAATATTTATGGTTTTGAAGTTATTATAAAATTATGTTTATCACTATGCAGTGAGTAAAACACCAGATTACTAGTGAATATTCTGAAAGGAAGAAGGCTTTATGTCTGTATTAAAAATTTCATTGAAAGTTTCATAGAACAATTGAAATTTAATCTGTAAAAATTTTATTTTTCAATGAAGTTTTGTTTTTATATGACATTAGACATCCGCAAACTATTTTGTTTAGCTGAAAAAAAAAGAAAGTACAAATAAAAATATTAGTTTTGCAAACATAGACGTTGTACTTGACGTTATCAGGAACTAGGCGTTACCCTTGCCCCTAACTTATCCAAAAATGTTTCTTTTAGTTGCAAGGAAAGTTTTTAATGAGTTAAGGTTAGAATAGATTATTGCCATATTGTTGCTAGTAGTAGTGAGTTATTGCGTTTTAAATTTAGTTATAAATTACTGAATTTCGTAAAGAAATTGAATCATATATACCCTCACCTTCTATATATCAAGAGACAATTATTATGACGAAAATTACTACTTATCTTTATTTGATTTACAATCGACCCTGTGACCACTACTTACTATCAATATTGACAAGTATTTATAGAAAACTCAGTACTAGCGTTGTGTGAAAATTAAATGACTGGTTTTAACTGCTGCAAATAATGTAATTTGAAAGCAACCATTGGTATGTTGAAAGCAGTTGCTTATTTGATATGTTAAAAGCAGTTGCTTATTTGATATGTTGAAAGCAGTTGCTTATTTGATATGATATTTTGATAAGTTGCGGCTTTTAAATTGTTCAAAATTGCTCTTAACATATCAAAAGCTTTTGATATGTTAAAAGTCCCAAATAATTTTTATAAGTCCCAAATAAGCTCTTGATATGTTGTGTCCCAAATAATTTTTTTTGAAAAAAAGTTATGTGCAGCATCTAGAAATCAGTTGCTAGGTCTATTATGACCATAAATGAAATAATTTTTTAATTTAAAAAGTTATAAATGCATGGTATAAAATCTAGATTTTTCAAAAATTTTCATATTTTTCTATTTTAAATAAACTTGTAAATAATAAAATAATATCTTTCTGTTAAACATTTATTATAACAAAAATTGTGTACTGGGAAACATATGTTACATATGTTAAAGAATTGTAGAGAGAAAGGTTGAAAATATATAACTAGCTTTTTAAATCTGTTTTAGCTGGGTTTTAGTCAAATTTCTATTAAATTTTTTTGTTGCTGTTTTGGGCAACCAATAAAAAGGTCATAATAAAATTTCCATTCTGCACAATTATTGTGACTTTCATATTTTTTGTTGTTTAAAAGAGAAAAGTCCTCATTTGCAGCTAACTCAACCTGGGGATCGTTAACTTGGGCTAGGCAAAACAAGATTCAGCTCTGATTACCAACTATATCTGATAGTATTAACGGTGTCATTACAGGCATTTTAGGTTTGCCCTTTACGAACTCCTTAGGAATTGGAAACTCTAAAATTTTTTCCAGTATCTTCGTCTTCTTGTTTTTCTCAACATCATCATCATCAGCTAAAGACATTACAACAAGATGTTGAATTAAATACCAGGAATGATTTTGCATTTTTTCCAGAAGTGATTGAGTAAGCTCAAGATATTCTTTACTTAAATCAAACACGTTTTTGAAAGCCGATAAATTTTAACTCGTATTAAATATTAACTCGTGCTTTAATATTCAATAAGCTTTTAAAGAAGATATTGAAGATATAAAAAAAGAAGCTGTCTGGACCATCTTCTTCTTCTTTCATTCTTGATATGTTCTTTGTCATTTCTAATGTGAGCGAATAAACAAAGTTAGTAAATGTAAAGTTGACAAAGATGTTTGTAGTCTCTTTCCTTGAAAACACCTTTATCTAGTGCAGTCTCCCCAAACTTTAATGCTGCCTTGGCTATATTGTAGATAATTGAATCAACCTTTAAAGATGTTTGATTAAATTTAACCAGATGAATTAATGAGTTGTCAAATCTTATTAATAATCTTTGACTAGGTCTTCTGTAAGCGCACAATCAAACTTGGCGTCAGTCAGTTCAGTCATCTAATTTTTAGTGTCTAATTTAATATTATGGTGACGACACATGCTCCAGATGAGGCTTGTATTAAGGATAGTTGATAGGATTGTAACTGCTCCAGCAAATTTTCCACTGTTTCATGCAGTTGTGCCACAGCAAACAACCACAATACTGTCGACAATATCATAGAATTCCAAAAAGGTTAGGATTAATTGAGTCTGCTTTGAATCAGTTGAATTTTCTTCCTGTACAATGCCAATCATGAAATCATCTCTACATTTCATATCTGGACTTGTTACATTAATTGAAATTCTCTCCGAGGTAACTGAAATAACATTTTTATCTTTAAGTTATCTAACAGGTTTTCCATCAAAATAGACTATAACTATTTTCCTTTTGAAACATCAATGAGGTTCTGTTGCAGTGTTTTCAAATATCATTTCATTTTATTAGTACTTTCTTTTTGAAACATCAATGAGGTTTTGTCGCAGTGTTTTCAAATATCATTTCATTTTTCAAACATCATTTCAAACATCAAATCAGGTTGTTCGTCACCAAACCTGTCGTAGTGTTCGTCATCAAATCTGTCGTAGTGTTCGTCATCAAATCTGTCGTAGTGTTCTGTCGTAGTGTTTTACTTAAAGCAATTAAATTTATATATTCAAAATAACAAAAATATAAAACAAACTTATTTACTTATTCACTTATATACTTATTCACTTTAGTGAATAATAATTACCAGGATTTTCAATAACTCTATGATCTTTTTCTGTGTAGAGTAGATCTTGATAAATTATTTTCATGCAAATCAATATCAGCATTATTGCAAATAGCGGAAGTCAATGCAGCCTAGGGACTAACAACGATTCTATAAAAAACACTGAAAAAAAAAGTAGCTTTAAATAGTTCATCAATTCTAAAATTAATTTTAATTTTTTTGATTTGGACACATCATAGTCAGAAAACTTTCTTCGCATGAATTTGAAATTTCAAACAATTCTACATTATCTTCAACTCCATATTTGCTTTTCTTGTCTGTTGAATTCTTTGATACGTCAAACGTTAGCACTTCTCGTTTTGAGGGACATTCTCGACTGCCCCTGTTTTTCTAATCATTCAACTGCTTAACTCTTTTATATCTTTTCTTTTTTTTTTTTGCAGAGTTTTGAGTTCAATCTCTTCATCTTGCTATGCAGTCATATTCTTTTCAGATCTTTGATCTCCATAAAAACATCTTCAATTCTCTCTTCTGTTCTTTTCTGATCTTTCAATTTGATGTGAATTAGTTAACGAACATATATGTCAAACAAGTAGTTAATCTCCATCTGAAATTTTACTTGCTTATGAGTCCAGTTTGCTTTGCTGGAACTCCAGTTTAATTTATTCAATCCTTTCATTATATTATATTTCTCTGTGAGTTTAAGGATCATTTCACATAAAAATATTATATTGCTGAAGTTACTAAATAAGTAATTTTGCAAAACATAGCATAAAATTATGTTTGTAAA